ATCACACTATAACATAAACTAGTGCGTTGGCCTTGGTGCCTTCGACCCACAGCTACTGTGAAGGAAGACTCACCTCAAACCGTTGATAACCAACTAGCTGCTCGATCTGTTGAACCGGATAACCTCGCACCAACTAACAATGAATACAACCTTAATTAATAATTAAGCCGATAACTCAAAACCAGAGGCCCAATCCAATATCTAACTTCCTAAAGGGTAAAAGACCATTTTACCCTTTCCTTACTTGGCCCAAAGCCAAGGCCCAACCCATTTGCTCAAAAAGCCCTATATAGCCCAATATGGCCCAACTTCCTAATTGGGCCCAAAAACCATCATAAGACCAATATCAAGAAATCCCATAGACTATCAATGGCCCAACGTCAGAAGTCCAATGGCCCAACAAGGCCCAAACCTTTAAAAGGCCCAAAACCAACTTGTTGGGGAGTACGCCCCGTGTACCAGAAGGGTATGCCCCGCGTACTCACTTTAGAAGCATAAAGTACAAATGATCGATGCAAAATTCAGCATTACACTGAGCGTACCTCTACGTACGCCCATTGTACTCGACAGGGACCCAAAAATCAACATTAAGCTCTTAATGGTTAAGACAATGACTTCCAAACTCAGATATGACCTAATGAGATGTCTTAACACGTAAACTTGGCAACTTTACTCTCTTTTCATGGTTAATGGGACCAAAACCTTAATACAAACCATAATAAGCACCCAAACTCATGCATGGTCCAACACAACTCATCAAGATGACATTTTTATGAACAAGGGACCTCCCAAATGCAAAGATCCAGCATATTAAGCTCTTGGAGTAGCCCATACTCATAAGGATGACTCTAAGGACCAAAATGAACCCAAAATACTCCTTAAACTAGATCTAACACCTAGAGTCATCAAGTTAAAAACTTTATACCTTCAGAAGGTAGATCAAGATGCACAAAGGTTGGATCCAAAAGCTCCAAGCAATCCCACACTTCTCCAAGAAACTCCTTCTTCTTCAAAGATCACAAAAATGCATCAAATACCACCAAAAGCTCAAAAACCACACCAATGGAGGCTAGGGTTTCGATTCTAGGATTTAAAGGGATGGAGGCTGAAGATAATAGGGTTTGGTGTTGAGTTAAAGAGCTTAAATAGGGTCCAAGACCCTAAATTAGGGTTTAGGTTTGATTGGAGTACGCCATGCGTAACTATGGTACGCCTAGCGTACTCCAAGGAGAACCGACGAATCCCTTGCCTAGTACGCCCTGCGTACTCCCCAAGTACGCCCCGCGTACTAGGATGACCCCTAATCCTTCAAACTTCTGAATGCCATATCTTCCTTGTTCTAAGTCCGATTTCAACGATCCTTATATCCACGGAAAGGTGACAAGAAGCTCTACACTTATATCAACTCATCTTTTTTTTATAACTTCCCGAACTAAAATCCAAAATCGAACAAAAGCCAGGACTGACACTTTTACCGATATACCCCTTTGGCTCCAAAACACAAACCGAACTCCCGATTATAACATCCCGACTCCCCGGTATAATATTTAATTAAATTATATTCATTTTTTCAGGGCAACTTAACGAGTTGGAGGCTCCAATTTGCCGAGTAGAGATTGAGTGGCCGCGTGATTTTTGGAGTCTACTCGACGAGTTGGAGGGACCCGACTCGACGAGTAGGAGTTGAGTGTGAAAACCCTAATTTTCAGGTTTTGCACCCTATTTAAAGGACCTTAAGTTCTTTACCCCGCCTCCCTCACCACCTTAACACGTTGAGAGAAACCCTAATCGAACTATTATCATCTATGTGTGTGTACGTGAGAGAGAGAGGCTAAAAGTGTGTGTTTTAGTGCACTCTTGGAAGGAGTATGAGGAGCAAAAGGCTTGGGACGAGAAAGAGCCCTTGGATCTAGTATTCTCTCAGTGTTAGCTGCCATGTGGAGGCAAAAAGCTATTACCTTGACCACTTGTGTGTTAGATCTCTCCATTAGGGAGTTTATGGTCATTTCTATCTTCTCTATGAGTCCCTTAGTTGTTTGAGCATGCCTTGAAGATGAGACTTTAGATCTGGACGATATTAGGTCCCTTGGGCCTAAAGATTCAAGCTTTATCAAGCTTTGGCCAAATTTCATGCATTAAAACCTTGTTGAGCTTTGGTTTGGCAACTTAGCCCTAGATGCCATGCATGAACGTAAAGCTTGCAGCTTTACGTGTTATTTCAGCCTTGGGAGGCTAGATCTAGAGTATGGGGCCTTAGTTCTGCTTAAAAACGTCTGAATGAGAGAATGGGCTGAAGGGACTTGACGAGTTGGTGAGCCAACTCGACAAGTTGGTTAGGGTTTTCCCTGATAGTCTGGACGCGTTGCGACCTCGGCGAGTTGGTGAGATAACTCGGCGAGTTGAGATGGATTTTTCCCAATTTTTTAGAAGATGGTATTTCACCTGATTTTTCAAAAGATGATTTTTCCCGATTATGGAGACCATGGAGGGGTAAAATGGTTTTTCACCCTTTCCGAGAGTTAGAAAAGGGGTTAGCTTAACATCTTTGGAGCTGTTGTTATAAATTGTTAATTAGAGATGATTATGACATGTAGGCGGAGTTTAGACCGATCGTTGAGTATGAGACGTACTTGCTTACTTACGAGGTGAGTCTTCTCACTATACTTACCTGAGTGGTAATACTGTGTGACCGGAGGGTCTTATTTGAGTTATTGACCGGAGGGTCTTATTTGAGTTACTGACCGGAGGGTCCAAACCGAGTTATGAGAGTGGAGGGTCTTCACTGAGATACCAGACTGGAGGGTCCGAACCGAGCTGTAAGACCGGAGGGTCTTCACTGAGACACATGACCGGAGGGTCCTTATTGAAATATAGCCATGAGAGGCTAATTATTTGTGTGTGGTATTTTGGGGAACTCACTAAGCTTCGTGCTTACAATGTTGTGTGAAATGTGTTTCAGGTACCTCTCAGGATCGCGGGAAGGCGCCGACTTGCTTGTACACACCAGCTTGAGATTATGTTTTGAGGATTTTGGGATATTGTCAAACATTTTGTTGTCTTGTGTTTTGAACAACTTATACATTTGGGTTTTTTGAGAAAATGAGATTGTGTTTTATGAGGTTTTAAAAATGAAAATTTTGTTTGAAAATTTAGAGTGTTACACAGATCATCTAAAATATATTACCCACACCCAAATGGGTCTAAATCTATCTTTCCCAAAGGCCCTAAGCCTTGTGATAATCGATATTCTAGTCACAACCCCGAATTAGGAAATGATTCGGAACATGGTGTTACAATTATAGTGATCTGTTAGATCAGTATCCTGGTAAATAAGATGTAGTATGCGGTAGTGATTTGTACATCTGCTTGTTTGTCTGATGACTAGTTATATGTTTACCTGTTTGTTGGATATGTGTTATATGTTATGTATATGTCGAAATAGTATGGTTGGGTTGAGGTAGTACTTCTTTATGCGGTAGCCAAAAAACACGGAAGCAAGCTAGACATATGTTGTGGGCCTGCAGGGAAAGCCAGACCTATGTTGTGGGCTCGGGAGCAAGCCAGATATGAGCTGTCTGCCTAAAGGGCAAGCCAGACTCATACTGTGGGCTCAGGGGTAATCTAGTCTATTAGGCGTGGACCGAGTATATGATGTTATATGTTGTGTGTGTTGGTACTTTGAGGGAACTCACTAAGCTTTGGCTTATTGTTTCAGGTACTTCTTATGACTGGGGCAAGGCAAATGCGTGATCGTGCACATCATGTGGTTTTATGTTGTTTGGATTTTGGGATACTCTGATTACTAAAATACACTTTTGAAACAATGATTTTATAAACATTTATGGTTATGGGTTGTTTTTGAAAAGTTAAAATTTATTATGATTTTTCGGATGTTACAAATGTGAGAAAAAAGTTTAACTTGTATCTAAATATTTGTTATTCTTTAAAAGTTCATTCAATCAATATTCTGATAGAATAACATTTTATATATTCTAATAGAATAACATTATGACAGACATAACTATTCTTCTAATAAATTAATATTCTAACAGAATAAAATCGGTTTTTGGTTACATATTACGTAAGAATTGAAATCGAATTAATTAAAAAAATCAAAAGTTTTAAATCAAGAGAATTAAATATCTCCTAAAATATAGAAATTTTCTTTTTTAAATTTATTTTAATTGACTAAAATACTCTTACAATGAAATTAGATGATATTTTTCAATTATCTTTAATTCAACAATATTTATTAATCACCTTCTTAAAATAACTAAAATGATTGGTCCACAATCAATGCTACATCCACACAATAAATAGTTAGAATACAATAACCTAACACACACACACACACACACACACACACATATATATATATATATATATATATATATATATATATATATATATATATATAATTTCAAATCTAATATTTAAAGTATCCTTCAACTACCACATATCAATAATCGACAACAATAAAAACTAAAAAGTCAATGCATACATTCTAAAAGAGGGATGAAGATGATGTGTTGTGCTTATCAAAATGACAAAATTTCAACAATTTAGAAGTAAACGATCCACCAATTTAGATGTAGGGACAATATGATCAATTTTTTGGTTATTATAATTATTTTAACATAAAAAACGATTATAAACTATTAAAAATATTTTAAAAAACGATTTGGGCAAATATGATATTTTAAAAATTTATAAAGGTTAAACATGTTGATCGTAGTTATCGTTTTTTCTTAAATAATAACCATATGTATGTTCTAATACCAAGTACTAAATAACTTGATTCTAAAAAAATAGAATCATTTGTAAATGACCAAATTATTCACAAATATTCTCACGCCTATGGAAGATCCGAACAAAAGCAAAAGTAATGTCGTAATTTTGTATCTTATCCAAAAATGTAAAATAATGTGGAATAGATATCAACTCTAAATCTCCTGATATATTCATCGTTGAGTCAGTACAGTTATCTATTTCCATTTCTGATAAAAAAAAGAAATCATTAAAATCAAGCCAACTCATCCAACACTATCTTTGTTTGTTCCATTGATAGAGAGCATAAAAACATCAAAATCTCATGAATGGTGATCTACGGCCAACCCAATGCACCAATTTCGAACAAGTTCTATTTTTCTTGCTTCTAAGATCTCCTGAGAGCCCTTTCTCATTTTCCTTTAACAACTTCCAAAGTACATGTACGTCCTCATATTCACATCTCATAATCTCATGGTGTAGCCTTCCTAGCCCTACATCCAAAACAAACACTTCAAATCTAGAATGGAAATACACATAGATCTAAAATGAAATTAAAGGACGGTTTACCAAATCAAATATATCTTAGTGATGATTTAAGATATCAATACTTTTTCTAGGACAAAGTAATTAAATGTTACTTTGTTGGGAAAATGATACAAATGCCCTATAAAATTTTTAGGGTTGGTTGATTCAGTCTTTAAAGTTATTTTCTGGTTTTATGGGAATATAAGGTATGTTACGACCTGCTCTTTTAGTCCCTTTCAATCTTTAATATCTGGTACACCATGTGACAGTGACCATTTAGAAAGAAAAAAAACTCATATTATGTCCATATAAAGCCAAAAAATAAGTTTGTGATCATTTGAACAAAAACTCACGAAATCGACTACAATTGACACTTCCGTCATTGATGGGAAAACCAACTCACATGTGAGTATTGTTTCCTTTCAGGTGAGTTGGTTTTCCCTCGAGGACGGAAGTGTCGATTGAAGTCAATTTCGTAGTTTGAGTTTAAATGATCCCCGAACTTATTTTTTGGTTTATAGGGGCATACTGTGAGTTTGTTTTTGTCTAAATAGTCACTCTCGCATGGTGTAACGGTTATTAAAAGTTGAAAGAGACTAAATAAGCAGGTCGTAACCTATCTTATACCCTCATAAAGCTATAAAATAACTTTAATGACTAAATCGACCAACCCTAAAAACTTTGTAGGGCATTTGTCATTTCCACTTACTTTGTTCCATTATATGTGGGTTGAATATGGCTTTCCCCACTCTTGGGTTTTAATGAATGGGGGTTTGAGTGTGGACAGACCAAGACACTTTAAAAGTTGTCTCTGACAAAATGAAAACACATAAGAAAGTGTGCATGAACAATTAACAAGTTCATACACTATTGGTGTTTGATATTTTTGATTTCCTATCACTTGAAGTTTATGAACTCCTCCATAGAGTGTTGAACAAGTCATTCATGGTGATATTACGACCCAAGATCTATAAATATAATTCTTTTTAAAAATAATAATTTTGCAATCGAGAAAAGGCTAGTGGTGTAGTTACTATTTGCTTTCAATCTCAATATAATTGAATCTTTATATTTGAAATTTAAAGTAAGTGAACTCTAAAAAATTCCGAAAAAAAAAAGCAATCTACAGCAAATATCACAACTAATACATGTTTGGCGTTTTCCAAAGCTTACTCATGTTTGATTATACAAAATTTTGTAAATTCTATCCTCAAATTATGTTGTAATTTAGTAGACCAATCTGCTTCCTTAATGCCAATTAGAAAACAAAAGAACAAACTCCGATGTAACAGATTAGAACCAAAAAACGACACAATGAAAGCCACATGTAAGGAATTGAATTACCGGATTTTGGAACTCCGAAACGCACAGCTACACGGATCCAAATTTTTCGAAGATAGATAGTGAACTTTTGCCACCGCTTGATCACCTTCTGTCGATCATGAAATATTTTCTTCAGATTGCGAAATATTTAAAAACATAAATGCAGGTAATATGCATGATTATGGAAGAAAATGGATGGAAATTTTTGTATAAATGAAAAAGAGACCTGTACTTGAGATTGTCCAGGTAAAATCATTGTTGATGTAGATTGTAGAGGGGGGGAGCAGTTCATATGTAATTAGCTTGTTTTGGTTGATTCATGGATGCCACGTTTCTTTCCATGGGTACTACTACGCGGAAAGCGTGTAGATAATCTTTATGCGGCCCTACCAATGGCCTAGTCAAGTAGAGTGTTTGGTTTGATATTTATTTGTTGGATTTTCTATCTATATCCACGCAATTTTCCTTTACTATAATCATAAAACAATTTAAACAATGGGCTGTTTTCAATTGTTTATTTAAAATAATTTATGTTTTCTTAATGAAAAATTTATTAGTTTATGTGTTGATGAAACTCGGTTTAAAAGAAAAAAGAGTTTGTATTAATATAACTATATATTAACTATATAGTATTAAAAATTAATGTCGGTGGGTATTTTTACCCATAAATATATTTTTACTTTGTAAAATACTATTTTACACCTCTTTATTTTTTAAATTACTTTGTAAAATAATATTTTCTTCCCTCTATTTTTTAAAATATCATTTGATCCCGTCCACTTTGAAGTTTATACAATATCATTTTTACTTTTTTTTTATTTTCAAAATTTTCGTGTTTATACTCGTAATATATGATACTTTCCATCCTTCTACTTTGTAAAATGTCACATTCACCCCTTCAACTTTGAACTTTCTAAAATATCACTTTTACTTCATTCTTTTTCTAAACTTTCGTGTTTACTCCCGTAGTATATATTAATATGACTTTCCTACAGTTACCACCCCTCAACTTTGTAAAATATCATTTGAACTCCCTCAATTTTGAACTTTGTAAAATGTCATTTTAATCTCCCCGACTTTCTAAATTTAAGTGTTTACCCAAAGCATCGACAATTACCATCCATCAACTTTGTTAAATATCATTTTCACCCCCTCGGCTTTGAACCTTGTAAAATATCACTTTTACCTCCTCGATTTTCTAAACTTTCATGTTTACCACTCATTATATATATATATATATATATATATATATATGTGTGTGTGTGGTGTGTGTGTATATATATATATATATAATATATATATATATATATATATATATATATATGTGTGTGTGTGTGTGTGTGTGTGTATATATATATATATATATATGTGTGTGTGTATATATATATATATATATATATATATATATATATATATATATCTATTATATATCTCTATATCTATATGTGTGTGTGTGTGTGTATATATATATATATATATATATATATATATATATATATATATATATATATAGAGAGAGAGAGAGAGATGAATGATCATTTGAGAACTCATATATTCCCGAGAACTTGAGAACTAAAAGTGGACCACTAGCTCAAAAATTTTAAGGGCTCTGATTTTTTATGGCAATCTCATAATTAACAAAAGCTTGAATGGTGTATACGGGTTTTTAATAAAAATCGTGAGGGTAAACTGGGTATGAGATTTTCACATCCCTAAAACTGGGAATGAAATCCTCCAATGATTTAGGCTTCATTCTCGTCGATCATGAACAACTTCTGTAAGTATTTATTTTATTTTCATTTTGAATCTGAAATCGTTCGTAAATCTCTCTTAACTACGTCCTCCTCACTTGTTCACCTCTCCAATGAAGTTAGGGTTTCTTCATCTGTGATTTTCTGGTGATTGAAATTGGACTTACGAATATGTTTTACCATGTCGTCGTTCCCCAAAATCCTACTGAAATAGGCGTGGGTTTGACCATGAATAACTCTTCTGATCACCACTACATCATATTAGTTCTGTTCATATACAAAATCGTAACCCTAAAATCGTCTGGATATATGATCCGCCATTGATGAAATGAAGAAGGTAGTAAACGTACCTTTCCAGATCCAAATTAAATTAATGAAGTGTATGATGTGCATCTCTATACTAGCCATTCACGAATTACTAAAAAAAATCAATGATCAAATGCTCGTTATCAGATCAAAAGTGGCAATATCGTCGATTTCCATAAAAATCATTGTATCTGCTTATTCCTGATGGAAAATGTAATGACGTCTCAGTTAATCGCATTCCGGAAGGTTAGACCACTTTACATTTTTCTATTTCACTTGTTTTTTACAAGTTTCTTAACTTCTCTCTTTCATTCTTACCTCGCCTCAAGATTGGATTCTCTCCCCTGGTGTTTTTTATGTTGTCTCTTCCATCTGTACCGTAACCGCCTCCGAAGATGTCGACGCTGGTGTTGACGCCACCGTCACAGTCACTGTGACAATCAAGTTGATGATGCTTCATCGCTTGTAAGTTCTCTTTTGTAGTTATATCATGGTGTTGTTTCTTTTATTCTAACTACTTCTTGGATTTGATCATATGTCAGATTGTTTTGTTGTTTAATCGGCAAAATTGTGAAAATTATATATGCTTTTGATTGAAATCGGTATTAGAACTTTGGTAGGTTTGCGAGTTTATACTAGTTGAATGCGAAAATGTGCAGTTTTAGGTCGTATACACATTTATTGCTCTTCTGTTAATTCAATTTTGGATTCTTGCTGATCTTTGTACTTTGTTTTAGTGTAATTGACAACTTAGGGCTAATCATGGTATGCTCAATTGTAATAATCCCAGTGTAATTTCTTTTTACTTGAATTCTTCTTTTCTCTTTGTTTATATGAATTATGTTGTAGCTTTGAATTTGTTTTTCAAATTACAATTTCTCAAATAAATCTTTCATTATAAGAAAAATAAATTGTGGAGCTACTTACTGCTGTTCCATTAAATGATGAGTTGCAACAAGCAAAAGCTTCAGTAGCCAAAGTTGAGGCTGATGTTCTTTTAGGAATAACACAAAAGGTAACTACTGAATCAACTCCTTAATTGTGTTGTCTTCTCTTACTTATTGTGTTTCTCATAATGTTTGTTATTCTTGCACACACAGATGCAAACAGATCTTGATGACATAGAGAACTTGTTGGATACTATAATCCAACTAGATGTGGTGAGTATCCTAATCCAATCCATCTCTGATTGACTTTCTTTCAAGTTTAGACTTTAGATCCCTATTCCTCCTATTCACATAATCCGTACAATAATTTTGGTTCCTGAAACAAATGCTTGCAGATTAATTCTAGGGCAACGTATAGTATTTCATTTGGTAGGACATATCCAGATCTGTTAACTGCTATTTTTTTTAATTCACATGTTATTGTGTCTTTGCATTGGAATATTGAGGTATAAGTTTTCTGTTTCCAATGACAACTCCTTTCTAATTATCGAAATTTATTATAACATTATTTATAATTAATAAGATGCGTTCACCAAGTGAAAACAAACTCTATATAAAACTATTTGGAAACTATAGTATATTACATTCTTTTTGGAATATAAATTTGGACAAAACTGGAATATGTTATTTTTGATTTTCATAGATAAATAAGTTGGAAATATGATTGTTAAATTATATTTTGAGAAAACGATCTACAAGACTATTGGTATTATAAATATGCAATATATGTTGTTCATTGGAGTCCTTTTACTTTTAGGCCTTAGCTACACCTTTTTCATTTTTCATTGTTGATTGGTTAACCAAAACATATCCAAACCAATACTAATAAAAAAAATATAAACTAAAATGGTTGCAATAATCAGCGTGCATATGTGGGATTAATAAATGAATATTTCTTTATATCATGTTTTAAGTTAGCCCTTCATAATCTTAATAAAACCAACACACACACACACACACACACACACACACACATATATATATATATATATATATATATATATATATATATATTCACAAATAAATAACTGGATATGGTATTGTTTTAATGAAACAGCTGGATAGTCATTTGGTATCAGGCATGAAGACATCAGTGCTTTGGAATCTTCTGTACGCAACCCTGCTAGTTTCTTTGATCAAGTAGTGTCTGGCAATGGCAAAATATTTTCAGACTTTTCAAAGGTTTGTTCATTTGATTAATTAGCCAATGGCAATAATTAATTATAAATCACATATAATTTATGTAAACTAGCATAATATTTTAGTAATTTACTGGAAGCAAGACTATACCTATGTAGTGATTCACATATTAATTACAAGTGAATCACATATAAATTAGCAGACGAGCATGTTTATTTATATATTGTTGTGATTTTTTTTCTGTTTTGTTGCTTTCTTGTCATGACAGGTACCAATTACCAGATGAGCATGTTTAAAGGTGGATCAATATTATCTACATGTGTCATGATAATGATGATGATGACGGAGAGGTAAGGTAACTAAACTATATACTAGTGATATTAACTCTCTTGTTTCTGGCATGACAGGTACCAATTTTTTTTTAACCATATAGTTTATTTTAATTGCTTTTAGATTCAGCTTCATGAATCACTTATGATTTACACGTGAATCACTTGTGATTCACATGTGAATCACATGTGACACATGTGAATCATTTGTGATTTACATGTGAATCACATGTAATTCACATGTAAATCATCTTAATTATTTATTTTTTCTAAACATATAGTTTATTTTAATTTGTTTCATTTTAGCAATATATCACAAGTGAATCACATATAAATTATATGTGATTCACATGTAAATCATAAGTGAATCACATGTAATTCACAAGTAAATCACAAGTGATTCACATATGAATTACATGTGATTCACATGTAATTCACAATGAATCGCCTATGAGTTACATGTGATTCATATGCAATTTACATATAATCACATGTAATTCACAAGTAACTCATAAGTGATTCACATATGAATTACATGTGATTCACATGTAATTCGCATGTAAACAACAAGTGAATCACATATGAATTACATATGAATCACATGTAATGCACAAGTAACTTTCATATGAATTACATGTGATTTACATATAAATCACAAGTGAATCACATATGAATTACGTCTATATGCACACATGTATTTTTGTGAGTTTTCTTGCATTAATTTTTTTTCTTGTAGATTTGGAAGAATTTGTGGAAAATATTGAAGATGTGAAAAATGATAAA